GATCCTGGTCAGAGCAATCAGTGGTGGTAGCCGGGCACCATCTAGCTGTACTGGACTCAGTCCGGTGGAGGCCTTGGTAGCTGTGGTCCATTAGTCCTTCGGACTAATCTTTTCCTTGTATCCTGTTCTCTTCATTCTCCCTTGCTCCCGAAGGGGTGAGACCAGTGGAGTATCTTAGATGGGCGCTTACAGGCTTTTGAGACACCAGACACTACTCACCAAGGTAGAATGTAGAACATTGTATAAACTGTGTTATGCCAGTTGAGCTAGATGTTCCCCGAGACCATGGTCCAAGGCAGCTGTCTTTAAAATGGGAGTAGTGATAATACCTCCCTCTTAGGGTGGTTGTGAGGGTCCGAGGAGTTAATGCACGTAAAGCACTTAGAATAGTGCCCGGTGCATAGCTAAGTGCCCAATAAATTAGTTATTATCAATAGTCCTTTAGTTGCAAGTGACGGAAAACCAACTTGTATTGGCTTCATGAAAAAGAATGGCCCAGGGTAGGGCTAGGCTAGCTCAATTCAGAAGTTCCATGGCATCGCGAAGATTCATTTCTTTTCTTCAATTGTCTCTGTTTTGCTCTGCCCCCTGCTGCAGTCCCAGCAGAAATAATTTTTTTCCCATTAATTTCAGCAGGAGTAATGGCGTTCTTGGCTCTTGGTCCAGCTTGGGTCCTGTATCCAGTCTTGAAATCAGGATAGCCAGGAGGGTGAAATATGCAGAGTGCCAGGCCTGTTGGTGGGTGTGGTACCCATTCCCAGAACCAAAGGGTAGGGGGAAGGGAACAGACCCAACCAAACTTGGGACCTAGAATTGAGGAGGGGTGATTCCCCCAAAGGAACATCAGGAAGCCGTTACCAGAAGCTCACGCTTTAAAAATACAAATGGAAGTCTTCTATACATTCTGTTTTGCATCTTTCCCCCCGCTTAACAGAATATTTTGATCATTGTTCCACATTACTGCATATATAGCTGCCTTGTTCTTATTGTTGGAAAGCCCCGTATGTGCTATTGTATGGGTGTGCTATAATGTATTTAACCAGTTCCCTATTTGTGTACAGTTGAGGTTGTTGCCAGCTTTGTGCTATTAAAAGCGGCACTTTTGTTCCTCTTGGTTTCTTGATTCTAGCTCTGATAGTCAGTCATGCCATGGAGGCAGTAGCTTAGTTAAAGTCGAGTGTTCAGTAAATCCCTTTCTTCCTTCTGTCTGGACTTAAACTCCTAGGAGTCACCCATTTATGCCTCCCTTGGAGCTCTGGAGAAGTCTGGATTGCAGTCTGTTTATGTACCAGTAGTCCAGACTTGCGACATATTCAAGTTACAAGGAACTGCACTTATGATTGTCTTTTTTTTTTTTTTTTTGTACATCTTATCGTTAGTAATACAATGTTAAAACATATCCGTAAGTTTGTGTGTAATGTTTCCAACCCCCAAAGTCAAAGATCAGGATTTATAAAGATTCTGATGATAAAATGCAATAATAATGAAAACTAAAAAAAAAATGTCTCAAGGAAAGCTCTGACCCAGCACAGAAGGAAGGTGAAGTGGTTAAGCAGTGGGCCCTCCAGTCACACAACTCAGCTTTATCCAGCTTTATCTCGTCCAAGCCTCCTTCTCTGCAGAGGAATAATCCATATCTGGACTTGTCACAGTGATGAGCACATGAGTAAATCTTAGCTGTTATTTTTTCTATAATCATGTTTTCTAAATTAAAAACATCGGACAAATGGATGGTCTGAAAACAAAAAAAATTCCTCCATTTTCACGTAACACCCATTTCGCACAACAACCTGGTCTTTGGAACCTAACCATGTTGATGAGTGAGGAGTGGGTATATGAATCTTACTTTTGGGCCATAGTAAACCTTGAGTGAATCCTTATGATATAAGATACAGCAAAGTAAAAAAAAAAACTTACATTTTCTAGATCTTCTTGCTTGTTACGTATTGGTTTCCTAAGGCTGCTGTAACAAGATAAAATGGGTGGCTTTAAAGAACAGAAATGTATTGTCTCAGTTCTGGAAGGTGGGAGTCGAAGATCAGGGTGTCGGCCATGTTGGCTCCTTTGAGGGAGAAAATGTTCCGTACCTCTCCTAGCTTCTGTAGCTCCAGGTGTTCCTTGGCTTGCAGGTGCAGTGTTACCTGGTATCATTTTCTCTGTTTGTCTCTTTTTTATAAGGATACCACTATGGTTGGAGTAGGGCCTCATGTTGACTGATAACATCTTCAAAGGCCCTATTTCCAAACAAGGTCATGTTCACAGGTACCAGGGGTTAGGACTTCACCATATCTTTTTGGGAGATACAATTCAGTCTATAACACTTTGGTTAAGGGTTTGGAAGATGATTTAACCTCTTAAGAGGTTTTCTTTTTTCTTTTGAAACAGCTGTTACCTGTCTGTACTGTGACTTTTCCATTTGGTGACAGGTGAGGGGAGAGAGGGCTGGATTCTGTATGGTGAGCTTGGGCTCTGAGTGCTGTTTCTGCCTCTAGGTCTAGTCAGTCACGTGTTGAGGTCATAATGCCTTTGTATTATCAACCTTGACTTTGTAGTGAACTGCAACTAAAGCACTTTTGGTTTTAGGGTGGAATTAGATGATTCAGACCCTTTTCATCAGAATCTCTGAGACTCATTGCTTTAAATAATTTGTGAATGTTTATTTTGTACCTATGAGTAAGGCGTTGGGCTAAGCACTGTAGGGAATATATGGCTTCTGCCTTCGAGAGTTTTAGTCCCCTTAGGTATAATCTTAAAAAGCAGAGACTGCATATTAAAATAGTAAACGATAACTTTTGCTATCCTTTATTATTTCCTGTATGTTGCTGTTCTGAGCAGTTTACACACTGTCTTGTTTAAATCTCATGACAATTCCATAAGGAAGGTCCTGTTGTCCTTATTTTATAGTTGAGGAAACAGGTTCAGAGAACCTGAGGGCATGTAACTAATGAAGGGTGGAGTTAGAGATCCCAGTTATAAAAGAGGGGCAGGTGAACTTCTGAGAGAAAGAGATGGCTATGTTTTGTGGGGGTGGGAGATAAAAATACCTCGGAAGTCTCTATAAAGAGATCACATTTGAATCAGGACTTGAGGGCAGGTAAGATTTTGAGAGGTAGAATATAGGGGAGGAGCTTTGAGGGCAGGGAATGATGAGGGGCTTGCTGGGCTTGATATCTGATTCCTTTGGTCTCCTTTGTCTTGTTATTGTCTTAGAATGGAGTCAGCCTCTGACTCTCACAGCTGAGCTGGATAGGCACATGACTTCCAAATGACATAAATGTGACCACAGTCAGGAAGTTAAGCTCTAGGTTGACTGTGGAGTCTTAGGTAATCAGAAGGGAAGAGGATTAGTCGGACCTGAGCAGTGGGAGGTTTTCTGGAGGAGATGGAAATTCAATGGGCCTTGAAGAATGGATAGGATTTTGAGAGGAGAGGAGTGGATATTCAGGCAAGAGGAATAGTAACATCAGAAATATGACCCTAAGAACGAGCTTGTTATTTGCAGAGTCTGAAAGAGCTTCTTTGTCAGGACCAGCAAGCTATTTCACTGAGAGGCTGGTGAGCCAGGGCAGGCTGGCCAGTGAGGGGTCTAGGAGGTTATATGACAGGGCAGAATAAAGAGTATGTTGGTAACTCCTTTGTGAGAGAATGTGGCCAGGTTCAATAGGGAGGTGGAACATATTGCCCCTGGAGTGGGCCTCCTTGCTGGACGCTGGATGGGAATTGTAGCCAGCAGCTGTGGGAGAGGAGAAAGCCACTACCGTCCCCTAGCACTGGAGAAGATACCTCTAATCCTTTCTTCCAGCAAGGCTGGGGAGTACTGGAAGTAGAGCCACTTTCCAGACAATAGCTTGTTAATTAATTTGCTCATTAAGTCAGTCAGCAAATACTCATTGAGAGCATACCATGTGCCAGATACTGTGCTTGACTTGTGGACAGCACAGGCATGGTCCTTCAGTGGAGCATGGTCTCACCTCAGGCCTTCTGACAATCTTCCTTCCTGCAGTCATATTCTGGTCTTAGCTGTGCCCTGATGCCCTGTGATGCTCCGTGTCCTTGGATTCCATCCAAATATGAATGTGTCGGTGGGGGAGACCCTACTGTGTTGGATCTGGGTTCCTTGGGGATGAGTAAAGCAGCAAAGAGGAGTGAAGACGTGAAGGTCCAGATGTCAAGTTGGACAAGCAGCTAACCTGCAGATGAAGTTTCTTACATAGTATGTCAGAGAGATCTTCAGTGAGCTGAGGTTTAGGGGAGTTGCTTTTGCGGAGACGGTGGGATGGCCAAGTAGAATCACCTGAGAGCTTGTGATATGTTCTGGTCTTTAGTCACACAGCTAAGACACCTACAGGTGGCCTCTCAGGTGGTGGCCTGTCCATCCACATTGCAGGGCTGAAGTAGGGGTTCCTGAAATGGGGTATGAAGAAGGTACACACAGGTCCAGCCTGCACTGGAAGTGGAGCCATTTCAGGACAATAGTTTGTTAATCAATTTGCTCATTCAGTCAGTCAACAAATACTCGCTGAGAGCATGCTACGTGCCAGGCACTGCTTGACTGGTGAACAACACAGGCATGGTCCCTGTCCTTTTCGGCTCTCTGCCCACTGGGTCTCATCCCCTAAGGGAGTGATGTCACAGCCTTCAGCTGTCAGGCTTTTAGAGGGATGTATGTTTCTTTCTTTCTTTTTTTAAATTTATTTTGTTGTTGAGAATACACACAGCAGAGCATACCAGTTCAACAGTTTCTACATGTATGATTCAGCGACATTGATTACATTCTTTGCATTGCGCAACCATTGTCACCGTCCTTTGCTGGGTTGTTCCTCCGTCATTAACATAAACTCACTGCCCCCTAAGGTTCCTATCTAATCGTTCGAGTTGCTGATGTCAGTTTGACCCTGTTTAGATAGTTCTTAAAAGAATGTAATACTCAAGGCCGACTTTTTTGTATGTTTCTTTTTATTATACATTCTTTGCTTTTTTTTTTTCTTCTTCCTTAACAGATAAAGCCACAGACCCAAGCGTGTCAGAACAGGATTGGTTGGCTATCCAGAATTTCTGCGAGCAGGTGAACACTGATCCCAAGGGGTAAGATGACTTTCACACATGCTTGACTAGCGGGCGGATGCCTTACTTTTTCAGGGCTATTTCACAGTTAGGCTTGCTTGTTTGTTTTTTTCCCCACAATCCGTTGAGAACATTACTTTATTGTTCTACAAATACCAAATTCATGGTACTTAAAAAAAAACAAAACAGGATAGTCACTTTGCAACTGGCAATTATTAAAAAAAAGTTTTAAGTAGTGTTGTTAAACACTAATGCTCAGGAGAACTCTGTATGTTGCAGACAGAATGTAGCTAGGTTACGTGAAAGAGATCATTGTGTTCTCCATCATTTAAATGTAATCTTCTTAGGAACAAAAACCAGGAAGAGGGTAAGGTTTTGTTGAATTGTCTATTTCCAAAGTGTCGGGATAGGAGCTGAAATATAAAGTCAGTCATCCAGGTGTTTAATCTACAAGTTGCTGAAATTCAGCTATTTTGAAATGAGCCAGAACTTTGATCCTGGTTTCTCCTGAAGTGTTTACTGAGCATTTGTAATACGACAGAGTCTGTGTTGTTCAGGACCCTTTATGTGGGGTCTGGGCCTGACTGTCCAGCTTGGAGTTGTAGGGGTTGGTTGGCTGAAGGGAGGGTGATGTGCCCTGGACAGAAGGACGACCCTCGGGCTGTGGGTGCAAGAAGGGTGGGTGGGAGTTGGCTCCCTCAGAGGCTTGTGCATGGGCTGCCTGCGAGTCATGTTCCACCACTGCCCTGGGACACAAGCTCCTGGGTGGGAGGTGACTTTAGCGAGCATACCCAGTGTGACCGGTTAGTGTGTCCTCCCCGCTCAGAGTCCAGGTCTCTTTGGTTTGCCTTAGCTCAACACATGCGCCTTGGCTGTTGGCCCACAAGATCCAGTCTCCACAAGAGAAGGAAGCTCTTTATGCCTTAACGGTGAGTGCGACTTGCCCTTAGCCTAAGCTTTCCTGTCATGATGCTGGGAAGGTTGCTGAGAGGGACTTTGCCTCTGCTCCAGTCCCTTTTCAACTGTGCGGGGGCATCTTGGAGGTTTATATTCACAGGCCCTGAGAACAGCAGGCTGTAGGGAGTCCTGTTCTCAGATTGCCCCATCTTAGATCTGTTTCTAGAGAGCAGTACTGAGCCCGTTTTGGGAGAAGGAAAGGAAGATTTTATTTCCTTTACCTTCTTAGGCCAGGCCTGGCAAGTCCACATGCTCACAGGGGCCAGCCTGGTAGCATAAATGAGTGAAGCAGCTGGGTGAGGCCCACAGAACCAGAGAGCATGTGCGGAGTTAAAGAGGGCAGCTGCTGCACAGGGCCAGCTGGCTGTTGCCAGGCGTGACTTTGGACCCAGTGTTGATAGAACTTTCCATTTTCCAAGAGAAACCAGAAATCTACATTTTCATATGAATTCTCTGAATTCTTACATGCTGTTGACTAATTTGAAATGTTGAAAATCATGTGGACCCAAGGAAATGTGTGTAGCCCTAGCTTGCTCCTCTGGCTTAGCAGTTCTTGGGCACTACATGTCAAATAGCCACCTCTGGGGAGGAAGTCATTCTCTGAGCAGTTTCAGCTGCCCAAGGGGCTTCCCTAAAAAGTGGGGTTACCTCAGGGCACACATACCTCACTGAGCTGTTTCCTGGGCACAAACCTGGCAGTTACAACAAGATCCAACAGATGACATTTTTTCTTAATCTGAAAATGTTACCCTTTCCCCAAAGCTTCAGTGTCATCATAGGCTTGGGAAAGCATTAGCCACATACCAGTAAAGTGCTCATCAGATTCTAGGGGAGCCCTGGAGCCACTGGCTTCCCTCTTATGGGGTTCTGTGTCTGTGCAGGTGCTGGAGACCTGTATGAACCACTGTGGAGAGAAGTTCCACAGCGAAGTGGCCAAGTTCCGCTTCCTGAATGAGCTGATCAAAGTGTTGTCTCCAAAGGTGAGTATCCTCTAGACTCAGCCTTGCCCACTGTACTCCACCTGCCCTTAACCTTCAATCTTCTGTCACCTTTCTCAGGCTAGAGGCAGGGTTGCACAAGGACAGAAACTGCCAGCTTGTCTCAGACTTTTGAGAGGTCTGAGAAGGTCCTGCATGTGAAAGCTTTCTCCTCTAAGGTCTAGGCTGATGGTCATCCTTATCAGCTGCCCTTTTATTGCTAGCATTTTCAGATTCTCCCTTGTGAATGGGTGGTCTGGAGAAAGTCTGTTGTGGTGGCACAGATTTCCTGGTGGAGATAGCAAGAGATAGTTGGTGCAACTTTACTTTCCATGTAACTTCTTGCTTTGTTCTCTGCATTTTCTCTTCCCGCACCTGTCTTAACAATGTTCCCCACCGTTCTCAGGTAACATAGGTTGAGCACTTACTTTCCCTAGTCAAAAAATGAGTGTCCCTAGTGGTGTAGACAAGGCACCGTTTGAGGCTCTTGTATGATGGGCATTTAATTTTAGCAGTTTTGGAGATTGACTCCTTGAAACCTAGAAAAGAGCCCTGAGGCTGGGCTGTGCCTCATCACTTGGTCTTAGGTTGTGTCTCAGCTTTTAACCAGCTGTGGGCAGCTCACTTCTGGGCCTCAGCAGCCATTTGTTTAGTGGAAGTGCTTGCTAGATTGTTCCCTAAGTTCTTTTCAGCTCTATAATTCTCTTTCCTCTTTCCTTTCAGTACTTAGGGTCCTGGACCACAGAAAAAGTTAAAGGAAGGGTCATTGAAATACTCTTTAGTTGGACAGTCTGGTTCCCAGAAGACATCAAGATCCGAGATGCTTATCAGATGCTGAAGAAACAAGGTCTGACTTCACTTTGCATCCCGTTTTTACAGTATGTTTCTTTTTTTATAGGCCTTGTAATTTTTTGTTGAGAGTTGGACATCTTGTGTAGGACAGTGGGGACTGAGGTAAATAATTTTTATGCTCAAAAATGGGCATAACTTTCCTTCTGGTAGGCCATGAGTTTAAGAGGTTGAGTCAGTCTAGTCAGAAGTTGAGCGAGGTTTGAGGTTTGATATTGCTATAGTTACTCTTAGTATGCTGTTGTTAGTTGCCATGGTGTTGGCTCACGGTGACATTAAGTATAACAGAACAAAATGTTGCCCAGTCCTGTGCCATCTGTATGATCGTTACTATATTTGAGTCCATTGTTGTGGCTATTGTATAGTACCTTCGAGCCTGGGGGGTTCATCTTCTAGCATTATATCAGACAGTGTTCTGTTGTGATCCATAAAGTTTTTATTGGCTAATTTTCAGAAAAAGATTGTCAGGCCTTTCTGAGTCTGAAGGCTTTGCTAAACCTGTCTACCGTGGGTGACCCTGTTGGTATTTGAAATACCAGTGCCATAGCTTCCAGCATCGTAGCAACACGCAAACCACCACAGTAAGACTTCTCTGGTGTTACCTTGTGCTTAGGGTTGGGGGCTGATTTGCCAGAGCATTTTTCTCAATATCTGCTCCACCTTCAGCTTTAGGGATTCCCTTTGCTCTGTACCTCAGAGAGCATGGAGAACATGTTCCTGCCTCTCTCCCAGCAGTAGACGGCTATTACTTGTTACTCAGCACTTGTTAGCCTGGTGGTGGGGGATTGTTCGCTGTTCAGATTAAGCCTCAGTCTTAGGCAGGCCCCACGTCCCTGGTTCTTGGGGGTAGGGCCTACTTGGTGATCCTGTCCTGCCCACAACTGTAGGTTGGGGCCTAGGGCCCCTTTCTGCCCTACCCCCAGGGGTATAAGGGGTTTTTTTTGGTCCTGGTTTTCGTTCCCCAGCTGCAGTGAGTTTTCACCAGTGTTCTAGGGCTACAGGGTTTGCTGTCCTTCCCGCAGCAGTGTAAAGAGGGATTTAGGAGTGGCTGCAGGCCTTTCCCACTCTTTTTGTGAGCCCTTGGTGAGGCATCCAGACAGAGATGAGGCTGTTCCCATTTTTTTGGCCCCCAGAAGCTCTGTATCCTCTTACTAGCTCACACTAGCCTATAAGTAATTTTTAAAAACTTTTGCTGAATTACTCTTCCTGGTGTTGCCTCCCATTTCTCCTTGGAGCACTGTACTTCCTTAGATTAGGTTAATTGGTTGCCCTGTGATGTCAGCTCTGTAATGGATTCAAGGAAAGTTGTGAATTTGTAGGTCATCCAGTTTTTTTGTTGTTGTTATCAAGGTGGAGTGATGCTGTTCCCACATTTCTGTGTCCTGGGCGAAAGTTGGGAGTCTGCATTCCTCTTTATCTTGGGTTCTTTAGAAGAAGGAATCTGTCAAGTGCACTCACTTAACATTTTTAGGAGTTTCATCAGGGATCCCACAGTAACTTCTGGGCCGTGGGAGGATATGCACCTCCGTAAAACGGTCAGTGTTTTTGTAGCATAAGGCCCACAGCCTCCTAACCCTGGGATCTGGTTCTGCTCTTGCTTACTTGGCCACAGTCGTTGTCTTGTTCTTTAGCCAAAGGTCCCCCTAAAGGCTCTGATGTCCCTGACTTTGTGCTAGTTCCTGGCTTCTCCTGAGAGATTATGCAGAGCTGTGATTGTACCATGATCCTGAGTGTTAAGGTTGTTGATAGTATTTTCCTTCTGGGACATCGGGAAGCAGGAGTTTCTGAAGTTGATGGGTACCCATATCACTATCTTAACTTTGTGAATTGCATGTTTAGGAATCATAAAGCAAGACCCTAAACTGCCAATGGACAGAATCTTACCCCCACCTTCTCCCTGGCCCAAGAGCTCCATCTTTGATGCTGATAAAGAAAAGTCAAAGGTAAGGAACTCTTCTCTGACCTTGGTGGCCTACCTGCAGTCTCATAAGACCTTTTCTTAGAGACTGTATTTTAAGTGTTCCCTGGAAGGTCCTCTGATCCCTGCACCGGAGCGTGGAGGGGTGGGTTAGTGAGCTCTCCTCTGCAGAGCCGGTTCTTGGGAGTGAGGTAGCATAAGGCCTGAATGGGCCGAATACTATGTTCTTTGTATTAATCTGCCTTCTTATCTGCACAAGTATTCCTGGGGGAAAAGAAGGAAAAAGAGTAACTCAAGGGGAGTGTGAGAAACGTGGGATGATCAGCCATATCCAGTGTATTTGTGGCATTGAGGTGGGGATTCGTAGAGAGGAGAGCATTGGTTGTGTATTGGCTCAAATCTTTTTAGTGCCAGTAAGCCTGACCCCACCCATTTTCCTTCCACTACTGCCTCCCGGAATTACTACTTCTAAGACATCAGTGAGGAGAGGGAAGGGAAAAGGAAGGTGGTCAAACACGTAGGCCAAGACACAGAGATAATGATAGTGCTTGTGAACGGGGAAATGGCTCTTGTGGTACTAGTGATGGCAGTGCTTTTGGCCATTGGTATTCTCGGTCAGTCACAAGGTCTGGGAAGTGTAGGACCAGGCATGTCCCACGCCACGTGTTTCTGTCCGGTGTGCTCTGCCCTCCAGGTGTAACCTCTTGGGTACCATTCCCTTGGATCTAGGTGCTCAGTGTCCGTGAGGTACTATAGGTAGAACAAGCAGCTTTATTCTAGATCCTGAGCTGCTTTTCTGGTTCCTCTCCCACTTTTTATTTTATATTTGCAAAGGGTTGGAGACCTAGGGAGGGTCATGGACTTCCGAGAAAGAGTCCTCCTGTATCACCTTAAGCAAGTTACATTCATTCCCTGAAACTCCATTTCCCTATCTTTCTTGACAGTTTCCCTATCTCTCTAGCCATTTATTCAACAAAGATCGAGTGGCTTCTATGTGCCAGATATTCTGCTAGGCATTGGGAATAAAGCGATAGACAAAGTTAGGGCTGGAAAATTCTCTGTTGTAGGGCTGCTCTGTGCATTGTTTACTCCATCCCTGGCATCTACCCATTAGATGTCTGTAGCAGACCCTCCTTCCGAGTGTGACAACCAAAAATGTCTCCAGATATTGCCAAATGTCCCTTGGAAGATGGAATCCTTCCCTCTCCACACACACACTGTGTTGAAAACCACTGATCTGTGGGGATATTCATAATGCCTACATCATAATGTCATTGTGAGGGTTTGGTAAGATACACATAAAATGTGTGAGCTGTTATTAGTGTGAATTCTATTGTTGTTGTTACCAGTCTGTGCCATTTGACACAGGGAATACAGTTCTTGTTCACTCTCTTCAGCTTTTGACAAGGCTTCTGAAGAGCAGCCACCCTGAGGATCTTCAGGCTGCAAACCGGCTTATCAAGGATCTGGTCAAGGAGGTAGGCACTTTCCAGCTGGTTCTATGGAAGCAGCATTTGATGGGCTGAAGGACAGTATGTGTGTGCTTGAGGGTGTGGATGAACAGTGTCTGGGAGAAGGGATGGCCTCCTGGCCTGGAACTGGGGAACAGCTGTGGACTCCCCAAAAGGCAGCAAGATAGTGGCTGGAAGCAGAAATCATAATGCTGTACTTTATCCGTGGCGCTCAAAGCATTTTATAGATGCCATCTTTTGTCCCAGTGATAGGTACTGTCTGGACGAGAGTCCAGGTTTAGGAATCTGTTTTTCAGAAGAATGGAGGCTGGTAGTGGAAAGGAGCAACCTACCAGGCACCAAAGCTGCATTGCCTCCCCCAGAATTCTGCGCTTTGATTGTTTGCTTCATCCACTGAGCAAACATTCCTGCTCACTCAGTGTTCTTGTGACTTCCCTGACTTCTCTGCTGCCCAAGGGTATGTTCTGTCCCATCTCCCTCACTTCCACCTGCTTCTTTCCCTTTAAAGGAGCAAGAAAAGTCAGAGAAGGTGTCCAGGAGAGTCAGCGCGGTGGAGGAGGTCCGCAGCCACGTGAAGGTGCTGCAGGAAATGCTGAGCATGTACCGCAGGCCAGGGCAGGCCCCACCAGACCAGGAGGCCCTGCAGGTGATCCTTAAAGAAGCTGTATGTGGGTGTAACTGGCAGACTAAACTGCACATATTTAACTGGGGCATACTTTAAACCTGAGTCATGAATTTGGGAGGGACTGAAGAGGACCCTAGAGGCTGCTGCATGCTTGATTGGAGGCCCCAAAGGCCTTGCTGTGGGTCCCGGGTATGTGTTGTAAAACCTGCCTCTTTTCCCAGGCCGTGTATGAAAGGTGTGAAAAGCTGCGGCCCACCCTTTTCCGGCTGGCGAGTGACACCACAGATGATGACGATGCGCTCGGTAACACTTTTTAAAATTTCCCTAGGCTAGATATCAGCCCAGAGTGTTAGCTCTCTCCAGCAGACGTGCTTCTTCCTGTTGTGCGACTGCAGTGCCAGGAGCAAGAAAAACTGACTGTAGGTTTGATGGTGGGTGGGCCAGGGAACTGATTTCCAGAAAACTGAGGCCTCAGCAGGAAATCAACAGCAGGTCTGAAAGCATAGAAAGGGGTGGAAACTTACCGAGTCGATCGGGTGTGAGAAGAGCACTGAAGGGAGGGGTGGAGAAGCCAGCAGAGGCCTAAGAGCCAGCTTCAGTGGTGCATCTAGAAGAATTCGCCAACTTAAACGCCGTCAGGGGCCAGCTAAGTAACAAAAATGAGGCAGGCTAATGGGGCGTGGTAGGGTCCATTGTCCACAGGTATTAAAACTTTTATCATGGAAAATCTCAAAACCTATAAACAGCGGAATAATAGAATAGATCCTGTGTACCCTTCACCCATCTTTAACAATTACCAACTCACAGCTAATCTTCTGACCTTGTTTCATGTGTACCTTTCTCTTCTTCCCACCCAGCCCCAAACCAGAAAGCCAAACTAGTTGCTGTCGATTCTGACTCATGGCAGCCCTACATATGTCAGAGTAGAACTGTGCTTCATAGCATTTTCAGTGGCTGATTTTTCAGAAGTAGATTGACAGGCATCTCTTAGGAGGTACCTCTGGGTGGACTTAAACCTGCAGCCTTTCGGTTAGCATCTGAGCACATTAACAATTTGTACCACCCAGGGACTCCCTACCCATCTCCACCTTGGTCTATTTACAAGCAAATTCCATACATTTCAAAATAATCAAATATTCTGTCAATGTTCAGATATTGCTGCTCATTTCTTGCTCCCTCATGTTTTTTTTTGTTACAGTTCTAATCAAACGAGACATAATTTGTAATTGATTGGCATTTCTTAAATATTTTTTAATTCATAGGTTTACCCTACCCCGTCTCTCTTTTTTTTTCCCCTTGCATGAGCAACAGGTCTTTTGCCCTGTAGAGTTTCTCTTGGTCTCAGTTCTGTCGATTGCATCCCCGTGGTATTTAACATGTCATTTTTCTGTTCCTGATACTTCTCATAAATTGCTAACTAGATCAGGCGGGTTGATTAGATGCAGGTTCGATTTGGTGGGGGTGGCAAAAATACTTAATACGTGGTGTTCGTGACACACGTGGAATCTGGTTGTCCCTTTCATGATGTAATTATCCCCTAGACCCATTATTTTCTCACTGGTTGCAGTGATGTCAGAGGTATCTAAATTTAAGGTTTTAAACAACTTGCAAATGCCAAGTAATATTTGTTCACTGAATTCAAGCCCTTGTTGCAGTTTACAGCGTCTGCCCCACAGTCAAAATATTGGTGGGAAATAAGCAGTTGGTCACTGCTGAGAAGTAATATTTCAGTTCTTTGGCCTGCCCTCTTAGGAATAGCCCTTGGCCTTGTTGCTATTCTCGTGTCTCTCTCTTAGGACAGATTAGTTTGCAGGTAAATCAAGCCATGGGATGCTCTGCTCACATCCAGAGTTGTTTCCCCTGCTTCCTCAGGGCATCTTGGCATCTGGTCCCTGGTGCCCTTTCTAAATATGGTTGGCCTACAGGTGCCCTTGAGACATTGGAGACACTGGTTTGGTTGTGAGACTGAACTGGAATTTAGAACAGCATTCCCCCTGTCTAATAGAAATAGCATGCAAACCATGTATACAATTTTAAATTCCCTAGCAGCTACACTAAAAAAGTAAAACAAGTGGCATTAATTTAACAATCATGTGATCTGTATTTTCAGTTACTAGTAAGATTTACATTTTTTTTCTATGAAGTTTTTTAGAAATTCAGTGTGTATTTTATCCTTACAGCACACTTCAGTTTGGATGCCAAATGTTCATGGCAGACACTTCACCTGTATTTAGACTTCATAAAATTTACAACTGAAAAAGTAGGTTCATAGACCACGTTGCTCCGTACATACTTAGAAACTCCAATAACTGAGTGGAGTACCATAAAGATAGTTTTCTTTTAATATTTGCATTCACATTGTCCAAGCTTCAGGTTTCAAATTTAATTAAAATTAAATAAAGCTAAAAATTCAGTTCTTCAGCTGAAGGAGCCTTATTTCAACTGCTCACTAGCTACACGTGGCTAGTGGCCTTCATGTTGAACAATGCAGACATAAAACCAGTTACTGCAGAGCTAATCCCAACTCATGGCGACTCCATGAATAGAACTGTGTTCTGTAGAGTTTTGTTTTTGTTCTAATCATTTTTTTTGTGTGTTTTTGGTGAACGTTTACATGGTAAATTAGGTTCTCGTTTAATAATTTCTGTACAGATTGTTCAGTGACAGTTAACATTTTTCACAGTGTGTCAGTGTTCTCTTTAAACACATTCTCGTTGTTCTGTTTCAAGTGCTGTAGTTTCGCCACCCCTTTATCTTTTCATCAGAGTTAATTGTTGACCTTTTGGTCTTATATAGATTGTTTTTTTAATGGAGCACTGTACTCACAGGTAATATCATTCATTTTGTATGCCAGTCTGTTACTTTGCTAAAAGGTGACCTCAGGATAGTTTTGGTTCCAGGTTTAAAGAGTGTCTCAGGTTGATAGTCTCAGGGAGTTCTCCAGTCTCAACTGGACAAGTAAGCCTGGACTTTTTTAGATTTTGAGCTCTGTCCACACTTCTTTCCAGTTCTGTCAGGGTCCATCTATTCTGGTCCTGATTAGAACAGTCAGTAGTGGTAGCTGGGCACCATCTAGTTCATCTGGTCTCAGGGTAGATGAGGCTGTGGCTTGTGTAAGCTGATTAACCCTGTAGACTAGTTTATTTTCTGAGACTTTAGTTTCCTTCTTTTCTTTTGCTTCTGACGAGTACAGACCAGTAGTTGTATGTTAGATGGCTGCTTGCAAGCTTTTAAGACCCTACACGCTACTCACCTCACTAAGGATGCAGAACATGAAGTTTGTGAACTATATTATGCCAATTGACTTGAGTTGTCCCATGAGATCCATAAGGTTTTCAGTGGCTGATTTTTCGGAAGTAGATTGCTAGGCCTTTCTTCTGAGGTGCCCTTGGATGGACTTGAACCTCCAACCTTTGCATTATCAGCTGAACATATGTGTTAACCATTGGCATCACAGTGCTAGGGCTCAGGGGTTTGAGTGACTAGGTCTGACAGGGGCCTGATTACATGTTCTGGGGGCAGGAGGTATGGTATACTGAACCTAGTAGAGCCCCGGAAAGGCTGTTGTGTGGAATGGCTTAAAAGAAAGGACTGAAAGTGTTAGTATACTAAATCAGAGGTTTCTGATTTTTCTCATTCTTCAGCTGAGATTCTCCAGGCAAATGACCTCCTCACCCAGGGAGTTCTCCTATACAAACAGGTGATGGAGGGCAGGGTCACCTTTGGGAACACAGTGACCAGTCCAGTGGAAGACATACCTGTCTCCAGAGGTATGTGGAAAGAGCCTCTCCTTGCCCAGCTTGCAAATCCCAGAAAAGAAATACATCCTCAGAATATTCTGGGTTATGGCATAGAAATGAGAGAACTTGCCTACTTTTCCTTCTCTTGTGAAAACCGATTTGAATTATCAAGCCTGTGCCATGGGTTCCATTGTGAACTGACGCCAAACTGGATGCCAGCTTTGGCTACAGACAGAAGCAGATGGCTGTGTTGTGTCCAGATTTGGATTCTTCTCATGAGTTCTTAACTTGTGGGAGCTGGAGACCAAAGAAATGGTTGTCTTTAGTGGTTCCTAGTGCCAGGCTACTTGGATCAGAATCACCTGGAGCATTTGTTAAAATGCCAAGTCTTGGATCCCTGATGCTTGGATCTACTGAATCAAGACCTCTTGGGGTTGGGCCTGGGTATCTGCATTTTATTGAGCACTTCAGGTGATCAGCTGGTCAGAAACCTCAAAAGGCCCCTGAACTGGTGAAGAAAGTCAGGTCTGCTCCTGTCCAGGTTGCCTGGGCCCTTTGGAGGAGGACTCTGATCACTCTGGTGGGAATGCTGCCTTCTGGTCACCACCAAGGTGGGAACACAGTCCTCTGGTGACTTGATAGTCCAGATGCCAACTCAGTCTGTGTGTCAGGATGCTCAGCTCAGGTGAAAGGTTGTTCTGGGGCTGCTTTGGGGTGGAGGAAAGTGACATCTTTTGATTGAGAGAAGACTTGAGGAGAGTTGGCAAGTTTTAAGTGGAGATTTTGTTCTCATGTCTAATTGACTTATTCTGCTAACCCTACCTGTTTTCTAGTCTTTCAGAATCCAGCAGGTTGTATGAAGAACTGCCCCCTGATTGACTTGGAGGTGGACAGCAGATCTGAGCAGGCCGGGACTCTGGCGCCATCTTTACTTCATCAGGACCTGGCAGCCTTAGGTGAGTGTGAGTGTTTAGCAGCAGCAGGGACAGAAGGTCCTCAGTAGGGACAGAGCGTGAACTGGTTCCCTTTGGAAAGAATATGCCTGCTTCTGAGGTGATTGGTTATACTGGGCAGTTCAGAGAGGTCCCCTTTGCACTGTAGTCTCAGTTTTGCTAGGGATGCATTGAATGACCTTGAGTAAGTCACTTTATCAGTCTAGGCTTTAGTGTTGTAAATGTTCGAGAAGGGGTGAGCGTGGTATTGATCTTCAGCTTGTATCAGGTAGTGAGTTACTTTTGTGCACCTCACTCTGCTCATTTCTTGCAGGGATCAACGATGCCGCTGTTACGAACGAGGTAAGGAAGCGCTTCCTTGGGGCCAGGGAGGACAGGGTTGTTGTTGTTGTTAAGTGCCATGGAGACAGTTCCAACTCATAGCGACCCTGTGTACAGCAGAACAGAACACTGCCGGTCCTGTGTCATCCTGCATCATTGTTGTACTTGAGCCCATTGTTGCAGCCACTGTCAGTCCATCTTGTTGAGGGTCTTCCTCTTTTTAGCTGACCCTCTACTTTACCAGGCATGATGTCCTTCTCCAGGGACTAGTCCCTCGTGATAACATGTGCACAGTAAGTGAGATGAAGTCTCACCATCCTCCCTTCTAAGGAGCACCCTGGTTGTACTTCTTCAGTACAGATTTGTTCGTTTTTCTGGCAGTCCATGGTATATTCAGTATTCTTCACCAGCACCATAATTCAGATGCATCAGTTTTTCTTCACTCTTTCTTGTTCATTGTCCAGCTTTTGCATGCACATGAGGCAATTGAAGATACCATGGATTGGGTCAGGCGCTCCTTAGTCCTCAAGGTGACGTCTTTGTTTTTTATTGAAGAGGTCCTTTGCAGCAGATTTGCCCAATGTAGTGCGTCATTTGATTTCTTGAGGGCAGGGTAGGATTTCTCAAACCTGCCTTCACAAGGGCAGTGCTGACTGGTGGAGAGAGCAGTGCTACTGCACTGTCCTAGTGGGATTCATAGACTAGCAGTTCCAAAGCCTCTCTCTTTCCTCTCTGTTTACACCTACCCTGGTCGGTTGTATCCAGGCTCTGCTCAGAAGTCATACGTTTATTGCCCTTTCTTTCTCCTCTTGCCCTGGGAAGTGTAGTAGGTCCTGGGCTGTAACAGCTTTGGTGGGGTCAGGAGAGCTATGCCAGTGTCACTGCAGCTGATGGTCATTCATGCCCTGGCCTTATTTTAGTCATTCCTGGTTTGACAGGTTGCCCGTCAGAATTGCTGTAAGGAAAGGAGGAATCCCACCCCCAGCACACTGCCAGATGGTGGTGTTCAGAGTCCTTCTGCAGAAAGGAACTTGCTGGATCTCCTCTCACCACAGCCCTCTCCGGGCCCTCTGTGAGTCTTCTGGACAAGGGGTGTAGAGTCTGGCAGTGTGTGCAGTTCCCTCTCATTGCACAAGGGCCAGTCCTCCAAGACAGCCAGAGACCTCTCACGCTGGAGAGACTTTCTTCCTTCCCATTGGAAGTTCAGTATGCTGCTTCCCCTTTCTCCTTTCACTTGCCATCCCAAGTCATGAAAATACCTCCTTTCCAGAACCCCTGAAAGGGGCTTATTAGGAGGAAGAGTAGTCATAGACGATGATGGCTGTTTTTGGTGTCTGTTGATTTTCTGTTTTCCTAGTTACAAATATAATAACCCATTGCTGTCGAGTCGATTCCAACTCAATAGCAACTCTGTAGGACAGAGTAGAACTGCCCCGTAGGATTTCCAAGACTGTAATCTTTCCAGAAGCAGACTGACACATCTTTTCCCCATGGAGCAGCTGCTGGATTTGAACTGCCAACCTTTCGGTTAGCAGCTGAGCAGTTAACCACTGTGCCACAAAGGCTCCTTACAAATATAATTAGTGCAAAATTTGATCATTAGAGTGCTGTGTGTATATATATGTATATATAGGAGCTCAAAATACTTCTCCCTAAAAACAATGGTGAATGTTCCTTTTTTGCTTTTATTGGTTTACGTGTAGTAATAAATGATTGTAGCTTATTTTTACACAAACTGTACTGCAACATGGCATTTTTTAAAATACGTTACATCCTTGATAACATATTTCCATATCAGTTTAGATAAATTTGCCTCATTCTTTTTAATAGCGACATAATAATTCATTGTAGGGGTGTATTTAATGATTTCCCTCTTGTTGGGTATTTACATAGTTACCAGTTTGGGAGCTCTTGGGGGAATGTTTTTCTAGTACAGGTTGCTAAAAGTAGAGGTGCTCCAAGGTATGAATATGAAATTATTTTCATAGATCCCATCCTTTTGCCTTTGGAAAAGTTGTAGCGATTTGTGTCCCCCAGAACAGCCTGATAGAGACCCCAGGGCTCTGGTGGAAATGGAGTCATGCTGGGAGATCATTCCTGTTTGCACCCAGAGGGTGTTTCTTTTGGTTTTATTCTTTTAACCACTGGACAGGGGGCCAGTAATAATTCTAATCTGGATAGGTTTTTTGCTCCTCTCTGGACTTTGGTTTTCCAAAAATGTTTTGAATTTGTGTTCCAAATTGACAAAATCATGAAGAAGTATGAAGCGGTCATTGTATCAATTTGTGTATCATCTACATAGCTCACGTCACTCCGGTGTGACCTTATATCACACATGGGAAACAACCTGACCGAGCTACTTGTTGTCCAGGACTGTCTGACAATTACCACATTAATAACCCTGTGAGGTAGATACTTCTATTACCCCATTTGGTAGATGAGGAAACTGAGCTATAGAGAGATTAAGTTAGTTGCTTAAAGTCATACCTTTACGTGTGTGTGTGTGTGTGTGTGTGTGTGTGTGTGTGT